TTTTTTATCAGACTGTAGATGCCTGTAGCTGTCTGAGCCTGTGTCTGTGCATGTGTGCATTTTGTGTTGCCAACACACTGATTTTGTCCTCAGATGTAGACAGTGTCCAAGTCCTTTCCCTTTGCCAAATTATATTTAAAAATGTTTTATCATACTTTCCAGGGCCACCCACAACCACTAGTTAATTCTGTCTAGAAGTATGGGCCTGGTGACTTTCTTCTCTACAGCAAGCACAATAGTGAACTTCATATGGGCTGGAACAGAGATATGGCATTGTACATACATGCAACAACTTCATTAGTGAGGTTTTATGTGATCTGATATCTCACTGCTTTATTTGTTTGTTCAATTTTCAGCTCATCCTAATTTTCAAAGGTAGTCAAGGGCCATAATTTAAACTAACTACCTAACCAAAACCGTGGGGAAAAATGCTCTGTTTTGATGTAAAAAACCAAATGCACCACTGCACCGTACTGTTACTGTCAGTGCCAACTAAGTGAAGGGCACCAACATCCAGTGGCAGCTGTATTATTGGAAGGGAAAGATGACTGTCAAAACCATTTAAAACCATGTGATGCAGTATTAGAATCAGAGACAATCGGCCAGTTTAACAGCACAGGTGTGAAGATGATCATTGTGCTTAAAATTAAAATACTGTAAATTACCATAGCTTCACATTGTAAGCAGGATGTCAATATTGCATGCTTCAGCAGGTCAATGTACTTATGAATGCAGAAAGTGTAAAAGCCATAATTTTGAGAAACTATAAGTTGCCCCCATGATGAACGCATATGTATCACAGGTGAAAAAAAAAATTGTTACTCATCTAAATGAACACCTGTGCCCTGCTGAAACCTGTAAGAATGACATGTCCCGTCTTCTCTTTGTGAATCACATGAATCGTGTATCGGTTTGCTGCAGCGTGTTTTACCTTGATTGGGCTGTGTGAAAGAAAGAAAGCTGGAGAGGCTCTTTATTTCATTGTTCAGCTTGCTAGCTTGCTCGTGTGGATAAAGATGCTTGTATATCACCTGGGCCCAATGTCACTGAATCTGCTGTGAAACCCTCAGTATGCAGAAAGGCAGAAACACTCTCCCAGAAATGTGATTAGGAAGTAGTTGTTCATACCATAGCAAATCTACACCATGCATTAGTGTATTGAGTGTTCAGTGCCTCAGTGTTCACTGGCTGAGATCATACCATGGTGCTCAGAAATGGTGGAAAAGAAACTACAGTACTATATCCTTGAAAAAAAACCCCAGCACTAGTCACTGTATGCACTGTCCTACCTGGGAGTGAGAATCTCACAGATGAGGGCCCCCTGAGGCTTATGGGTAATGGTGCATTCCTAGACAGATCTGTGCAGGGACATGGGGTCGACGCAGGGGTTACTCTGTTTGGAGTACGCACCTGCAGACATTAGGAGGAGTGTGTTGCCGTAGGGCACGTGCATGTATGAAAACAAAAAGTGGTGCGTGTGTGTGTGTTCTGCATGTATTACATCATAGGGGCACATGTATGTGTGTGTGTGTGTGTGTGTGTGTGTGTGTGTGTGTGTGTGTGTGGGGGGTTTGGGCGTGAGATATTGCCTTTGGACTTGTGTGAGTGTCTGTGAGCACAGACACACCTGCAGATGCAGTTCTACCCAGATTCACTCTGGTTGTGCATCTCAGAGAAGGAGACCCGGGGTACAGGCATAGCAAAGCACAGCCGATGCTGGTGCTAATGGTGGTGGTAATTTCCCATTGATATAAATGCTATTAGGCTTAGTAGAAGTAAGTGCTGCATTAAAGTATGTCATGAGAGCATACCGTGAGCATGTAATGACAAAATGTAGTTATTCTGTACATTAAGAGACACATTTTGATCATAAAATCTCATACTTAAGAGCTACATACCTCATAATCTTTAAATCATTCATCATAATTTGTCATTTATTTATGATCTATGTCTTACTCACACTCCATTTTTGTTGTGAAGCCAAACCAGTAAGTATACAGAAGGAGATTCTTATCTGGCAAATTATCCACATAACTCTATTTATAGAAAACCACCAATGAAAAGTGTGTGAGTTAGGAATGTGTTAGGATGTTTTTTTCCTGAAAAGTAAATCTCTCTCTTATCAGCAATGGAATCTTGAGGCAGGGTCATGGTTTTGATTTCAAAGCCGTGATTAGTTTCCCTGGGTATCCAGAGTGCTCCACTGCACATGAAATACCTGCATTATGGTTGCATGGGCTTTACAGTGCATTTATTTGGTGCCTTTTTTTACACGGATGCATGCCTCATGTACTTCTTAATGTTCACTTTCTAGAGTTCTCACACCCTTTACATACAGCAAATGACTGGTGTCACCAGCTCTTTTCACCTGTTGCTGTCTCTCTCTCTCTTTCTCACAAAAGCACAGGTAGGAGTCGAGCGTCTCACCTGCAGAGGGAACCATGCGGGTCCTCTGGTCCTCAGCGTTGTCCACCCTGGTGTGGCTGGCTATCACCTTCTGTCCATCTGAGGGGGGTCGGCTTACACCTGACAAAGGTAACATTCTGTCTGCCGTCAATCAGAAGTGAGAAGCCCATTTTCTCCCTAGGGTAGTTTTAGAGCAGTGGTCAGAGCAGCAGTGTGGAGCAGTGGTCAGGGTATCAGTGTGGAGTAGTGGTATGGAGCAACTAAGCGGTTTTTAATATAGGTGGTACCAGGCAGCATTAAGGCAATCAGAACCAGGTTTAAATCATTATGGCCAGATTTTATGTGTATCCAAATCTGTCTTCATGTGTCTGCTCAGGGTTCACATTATTCTGGGCTGTAATCACAAGAGATTTCCCCTCAGCTTGGAACATTGTGCTCAGCCTCTGGACCAGTTCATGTTGTGAGTCTGGGTGGAGTACTCCCCAGTGTACTCTGGGTGTAGTATAGTCTAGTACTCATCCAGTTCAGTCCATCTCTAAGACCTGGTTCTGATGTGGTATCAGTGCAACTGTGGGTTTAAATCACTGGGACTGTGTTGAGGATCCAAAGCTGTCGGATGAGGTACTGGTGCAGCTTTTGATATTTGCGGTCAGGTCTTCTTTTGATGTATGCAGTGCTGTGGTGAGGTTGTGGTCCGTGTCTTGATCACTGCGGTCAAATTCTGGCCCAAGATGTGTGTGAGGGCTGTAAATATGTGGTAAGCTTTTCCACCATTAGTCTGTGGTCAGAGCCTCTGGGCCCACCCAAACCTCTGTGAAACTCCCAGAATGCCTTGTGAGACTCACCCCACAGTCCATATGGGGCCAGAACCTTTGGCACCCTGGCTAGAACCTTTAGCAGCCCAACCACAAGGGGTTCTTATTGGGGCCCTTCCTTTGCTCCTCTGAACTCCAGGAAGTGTAGAAAAAGTACTTTTGGGGGGAAAGAAAGGCAGGACATCAGTCTCCAGCCAGAAACAGTTTATAACTTCCTGCCGCATTGTAAAATCACACTTTGCCATCTGAAACGTGGTGACCCAGTCCAAAAAGTTGTTCCAGGGAATCCCAGAAAAGGCCAGTTTTTCCTCCCAGTATAAAACATCAAATGTGTTCAACCCTGTATATTTCCATCTATCAGGTTTTGTTTATAATAATTATTACACAGGCCAAGTTATTGCACCTGTGCCACCTACGCAGTGTTTTTTCCTTCCTGCTCTGTGGATGTGGAGACAGGGATGTGATGAGAGGTAAAGAGAGTGGGCGAGAACACACTTCGCTGTGCTTTATCTGCCCGCTCAGGTGAGCAGATCCCTTTCTAAGAAAAACACAGGAGGTGAGTTCACGCTGATGATGTCAGCACCGTTTGGGCGCAGTCTGACCGCAGCTCTTGCGTTCCTGAAACTCCTCGGCATCTGTCCAGTGGAGAGCTTTCCTTTTACGAGGAGGGCTCCTGGTTAGCTTAGCTGGCTTAAAGGGTTGTTTGCCGAGAATCTGTTTGTTTTCCATGGGTTCCCGCAGAATCTTCTCCCCTGGTTTCCCACTGGCTTTTCCTCTGAAAGAAAATGACTGCTTTTTACAGCGTGCAGTACTTCTCCCATAACTGCCCCGCTCACGGCTAACATCTGTGTTAATTTGCGCAGTGATCGCAACAGTGCACCCGACCTCTACCTGTTCGACAGCCCAGTCCAATTACCACGGAAAGTGTAATTTTAATAAACCGGATTAAAGTTTTGGAGCCCCCCCCCCCTTCGCCCTCCTGGCTCCCCCTCCGCCCCTTACCCCTGCAGCCTCTCATGCTGTGCTGTCTGCCAGATGACCTTCACTGCAAAGTCTCTCTCCTGCCAAGGCTCTGTCTGCACAGAGTTTCTCCGGGAAAGACAGCTGGCTGCCAAAGAGCACACACTTGGCATCTGAGTTAGAATTGGAATGAGGCTTTTTTTTTTTTTTTTTTCCTCGTCGAATCTTGATTCAAGAAATCTAATTGCTCAGCGTCTGCTCTGGATCAACCTCAAGCCACAGTATTGTCTCCCAGGAGACAGAGGTGAGCTGCTCAGGACCAGACACACCTACCTCCTGTGTCCATCTCACACTGAGAAATGTGTGTGCCGCCCAGAGACACAGAATGTGTTTTTTTTATTATTATTCCTTTTTCAGACCCCTTCAGGGAGCCCAGACCCAGAGAGCTTCCAGTAAAGATGCAGTTTTGATCATCATGTTTCTGACATCGATGTGTCCTGAAGATAAAATATCTTTCCTACAGGAGGGCCAAGGAAAAATCAGGAATTATGCCTTTGCAAAGTGGTGGAAAAACATTCATCCTTGTAGAACAGCGTTGTACAGTACATATTTGCAGTGTGTGCTGTGTTATCCATTACTACTGCGTGCAAAGGAAAGATCTTGTCCCCTCCTTGTCCTTTACATTATTGTCATTTAGTAGACACTCTTATCCAGAACAACTTACATATGTTACAGTTTTTATATGTTACCCATTTATACAGCTAGATATTTACTGAGGCAATTGTGGGTTAAGTACCTTGCCCAAGGGTACAGCAGCAGTGCCCCAGCAGGGAGTCAAACCGGCAACCTTTCGGTTACAAGCCCTACACCTTACCACTATGCTACTCTGCCACCCTTGTTTAAGTTTTCACTGTGCTGTCAGACCGGCGTTCTGCCCGTGAGCTCCCCAGCTCTGACCGCCCCTCATCTCCCTCCAGCACCTCCTTCAGAGGAGCCTTGGAAGGGCTCGGGATGGAGGAGATCATAGACGATCATAGACGACCTCCTCGAACCCAAGCTGTGCTTCATACAGGCCCATGCCGTGAGAAGAAAAAGGAGGACTCTCTCTGTGACAACTTTTCAAGATCAGTCATCTGCAGTGTCATGGATGGTCTAGAAGGGAGGACAGGAGTGTCCCCTTAAAGCACTTTGACCTTCTCCTCATTGGCCCCTGAGCCACTCTACTTAAATGGCACCGAATACCAATCTCTAATTATAATAATAATATAAACATTAATACTTATTCAGGAAAAAAGTCAATAATAATTTAAAAACTTCCCTCAAGGTAAAGATTTGGCTCGGTGTATCATGCCAAGCACACACCCAGGATAATGGCCCGTTGAAGCCTGATATGCACATTTTTTGGCAGGTGTATCCAAAACACTCCCTTGGTTTTATTTCCTCATAGGGCATCTTTCGGCATGTTAAAGTAACGGGTGACCTTGGAGAGGATATGCCGATCCCCAGCACATTAATTTGCCAGCTCCTTTTATAGTTAGAAAAAGTTTAACCGCTCCCCAGCTACAAGGTGATCCCCCCCATTCCTGAACTCCGCCAGAACAAACACAGAACCGAAAGGCGCCTAATCTGGCAGTGAGTTCATTTTAGTGTTTCACCTCCACGGCGGGGTGTGAATGTTTCCATCGAGTGTCGCCCGTCGCGGATGTCAGTCGCACCAGTCGAGCTGTCAGTCTTCTTCATTCTCATGCGGGAGGCGTCTGCCGCACCGTTTAAGTGATTTTCAGACAAGCCGGCTTCAGGTCTCGCGCCCGCGGCTTCTATTCTCGGCTCCAAATCTGCGGTGACGTTCCTGTCCCGGAGTAACGCTTTGATCTCATTCTCTCGCGCAGAGGTCTTACGTTGACATTGAAACGTAATTTATTCAGCCTATTCAAATATGGGGATTTGAGATGCCTTTTTTGAGGGGGAAAAATGCCAGCACAACGATACATCACTCACCCAGGTGACACCTGTAGTTACTGTTCCTAGAGATCTTGCAGTCGGCTCAGTTGAACTCACCTGCTCCGTGGTTTATTAAAAGAGCTGTCTCCATCAAAGAGGTGAAAAGATATCAGACAACAAAAGGAGAAGCTGCTTTCATTTGCAGTCATTTTGCGCACTAACTTAATTGAAATTATAGTCTTTTTAATTTTATAAATTGAAGTCTTTTGCTGGTCTGTGCTGTTTCCTGGTCCCTGGAGAACCGTTGTAGCAGGAAGTCTTGGGTTTGATCTCTGAATGGCTTCGCTGTTATTGAGCAATCGGACACATGGAAAGGGTTCAGTTAAGGAATGTTTCTTGATTATATAGCAATAAACAAAGTAATTATTTATTTTGCAGGCAGCAGGGACCTCAAGTTGAACAAAACCCTGATGCCTTAGGAATCGTAAAACTCGAGGATGAGAGTTATTGCTTTCCTGCACTACAGAGTTGCTGTGCTTTTAGTTTGTGATGACAAAGGATGGTCTAGTGTTGTGTGGTCACCTGTCTGACTGTCTGTCTGTCCATCCCTCTTCAGTGGTTCGCTGCCCTTCTCTCCAGGTGGAGGACTGGAAGTTTCCTCAGACGGCAAGACACAACATCACAGGTACAAAGCAACCTTGTTGCCCGTTTACTGAACTTGACAGCATTATTCCATTAAAAGGAAGGATGTCAAAGCTATGTCAGTATGGTAGTGCATTTTCCCTCCCATCATTCTAGTTTACTGTGTGAGAGGCCATCTTTCAGACAGCTAAACGTTGGAGGATTTCACAGAATCGACAGATGTACATATATCTATGTAAGCTACGAACCCCCACAAACCATTGTGTTCCTTCCTAGTTATAACAAACAATACTTATAATACAAAAGTGTGTATCCTCACTAAGGTCTTTGCCTGTCTTCTCCAGCCTGAGGAAAGTCAAACCAGACCAGTTATGGTTGATTCATTGAGGTGACTGCAGGCTGCTGTATTGATCAGTAGTGATCTGTATTGTATGTTTCGTTCTCTGATTGACTGACTGAATGGTGGTCGATCCCCAGGTTTCAATCTGGTGCGGCGCTTCGGCCTTCTGAAGGCAGCTGAGGTGAAGAAGATTCGGAACCCCCGGGGACCCGTGATTCTGAGGCTTGGCAAGGTGTCGCTCGTCCGGCCCACTGAGTAAGAAGCCCCGCCCCTCTCTGTGTTTCTGACACGCTGTTACGTTACATTACATTCATTTATCAGACGCTCTTATCCAGAGTGATCTCCAGCACAATAGAACAGGAGATTATCCATTCAAGTTGAATGAGCAACAGTGTCAGACCAGGCTAACAATACTCCCAGACCAGTCAGTGTGAGCATAACACAGTCCAAGCCCTACCATTGTCTGGTTAACTTGTGCAATCTGACCAGCCAAGGGAAGCTAAGGATGCTACCATATTTCAGGCACTAGATCAAAGAATCCAACACAGAACAATACTACACATAAATATTGCTGTGTGAGGAATATTTCTCTGTGCAAACCCCATTCCCTCAACCTAGGCAGTCAGAGATCTACCCTTGTCCACTGGATTGAAGATCTTTTTTCCAGCTCTGCCTGTCTGCTTCTCACCCTGTGAGGAAGAGATATACCCTTGTACATTCCTCTGTTCTTTGTCTCCCTGATCTCCCACAAACCACTGGATCAAATGTCTTTTCCCAGAGCTGCCTTTCTCATGCTCATAATCATAAAAATATGAAAACTATGAGAGTTCATGTAACTGTGAAACTATGTGTGAATAACACTGGAAAAGTGTGGTGTCTAATTAAACATTCATTAGCTGTTAAATCCATGTGACCACAAGGTATCCTTGTTGTCATGACAGGTATCTTTCACAAAACCCCAAATTCACACAAAGTGCCTCTTATTCTCTGTAACCACATACTTACACAGATGTTTTAATCCTTTTTTTCCCAGTGTTTGTAAAAGGGCTTTTGTGCTGACATGGTTTATATACTATTTTTCCAGCTGGCCAACAGAAGAAAAGACTTGTAAATATGCCAAGTGGGAGACCTTGGGAATCACAGTCACATCCTCTGTTGGCCTTCCCCTGTCCTTTAGAAGCACTAGGTGTTATTGGTCAGATATCTCAAGGCCTGTGGGCAGGTTTTCCTTGTCTTACCACTCTCAGGCACCCTGTAATTTGTTGGGTAACTTCACAGAAGTAGCACCTATCCTCCAACAGGGGTCCGCCTCACTGTGGTGCACTGTGGGACTTGTAGTCCCAAAATTAGACATTGGTTGCATGCAAGTGTATTGGAGGATTGCCTTCATTATGGTGTGCTCCTGTGTGAGATCACTGGTTGAGATTTACAATCCTGTTCTGGATTTGATGATGCCGAAGTATGGTTGCAGGGGGGAAAAAAGAACATAAAAAAGGTTTGTCAAGTCCTTAGAGAAGCGCATGGGGTTTTTATTACCAGTCCTACAGATGTTGGTTCCAGTGATTTCAAAATTGCAAAATTAGGGAAGTAATCGTTTTAAGAAACTTGGACGTGAATGGAGTGGTTTGAAGTCCAGTTGTAACGATTTTTGTCAAAGCCAAGCTAGTTTTCTTCAATCATTTCAAGACTTTGTTAAGTTCCTCCTGGAATATTAATAACTTTCTGAGCAAACAGCCAGATTTCTTTAACAACTAACTGCCGTGTTCATTAAATGAAAGCTCTTTGAAGAACAAACTTTGATCAAACTTTCACTTGTTCTGACTGTTTATACCTAATTCCACAGAGGCGATTGTACATATGATGTCTAAGCCATGAAAGTGTATGCCATAGCTCTGAGGTTACACAATGTTATTTAGAGGATATGGGAAACAGCTTCCTTTAAGAATCTTCAAATTTGATTGTTTGTGTCGTGGTATAGGTGATATGTGGAGTAGTGGAGGATGTCTCTTTCTAGGACTTATTTTTTTTAGCGAAGAAAAAGTCCTCCAGATACTAGAAAAGTATTCTCCCAGCTGGAGAAAAACAAACTTCACTCTCCCCCATCTCCCATCTGATCTTGCTGTCTCTAAGCGGATTGTTTCAACTGTACTCTTGTCGCTTGTGAGATAGAAAATTTGCTCTGGAAGACTCGCAGAGAGAAGGGCTTACGTTCTTATCTCTCTCAAAGAGAGATCAACAGAAGAATAAACTAAAGCACCGCCGAATGTCCCCTGCCTCTCAACCCAGAATTCAGCATTCCGCGGCCTTTGCAGAGGTGGAAAGGGAGAAGTGGTGCAGAGCACACAGCTCTGGGGTTGTGCACTCAAACACGAGCTGCGGACTAGAGACAATCTGGAGAGAGACACTTTGAAATGTACTGTCTATTTTTTTTTTCTTTAAGAAATCATACTCTAGTGAGAGTATAGGTCTATTATTATTGCAGACGTGTTAGCATTCAGCTGTGAGCTTTGAAAACTTGTTGGAAGTAGTGTCTTGGAGTGTCTTGGTTTCTGGGATGTATGTGCGTGTGTGTGTGTGTGTGTGTGTGTGTGTGTGTGTGTGTGTGTGTGTGTGTGTGTGTGTGTGTGCACATGTAGGGTGGACACGACCTCAGACACAGGAAGACGGGAGACTCTCAAAGTCTCCCTGGAATGTGAGAGTCTGCAGGGATCAAGGAGTGAACCAGATCAGTGGTGCCTCAGAAACTGGGAGAGGAGAGGGAGAATTCACCTTTTGAATTTCAAACTGTAACTGTAACGGTAACGGTCGCCGCAGTGTAAACAGCCTGTTTACTCCCCTTCTTGCCTACTCAACAAAAACCTTTATACAAGAAATAACAAATTCCATTCTGACGATAGAGGAGGAAGAGGGGAAAAGAGAGAAGGAGATGATTTAGGAGGTGGAGAGCACAGCAACTGTGAGGAAAGGTGCAGGGAATGGTTATGAAGGAGAGACAGATGTGGAGATTCTGCAGAGATTAGAAACCCCTGAAAGATTTACTTCCAAGGCCCATTCTCTCATCTCTTCCTGCGCTCTCTCCAGCTGAAATCTGAGCTCCTTTTTTCACTCAGGGCTAGCTGTCAAGTCAGTAATGAAAATGTGAATATCCGCTTTTGTTTATTGGGTAAAAAGACCATTTTTACACTGACATCTGTGTAACCGTAACCTATAAACCATTGTCCACATCCTCCTCGCCTGTCTCTCTTACTTTCTTCCCTCTCACTTCTCTGTCCCTATGTCCTTTCCCTCTCAATTCCGCTCAATTCAACTGAGTTCAATTAAGTTCAGTTAAATTCAGTTCATCTGAGTTCAATTAAATTCAGCTCATCTGAGTTCAATTAAATTCAGCTCAGTTCAACTCAGTTCAGTGCAATTCGGTTCAATTCAGTTCGATTCAGTCGTGACTCAGTTCGTTCAATGGTCGTTTATTGGCAGAGCAAACTAAAGCAGCATTGCCAAACTATCCACATACATCACAAGGTATACTGCAAACTACAAACATAACTGCACACTGCAGATGCTCACATCTCTCTCTCTCTCTCTCTCTCTCTCTCTCTCTCTCTCTCTCTCTCTCTCTCTCTCTCAGTCCCTACTGTCTCCTCTGTCTGGTATCTGTCTCTTTTTCTATGAATAAAAGTTAATGTGTAGGTGTCCTCCTGGAAAGCATGGTGTTAAGTAATCAGACATTAGACAGACATCTCTTCCTGTCCCCTGAGATGGTGCTTCCTACTCCTTATCCTGCCACGACCTGTTTTTGGGGTCATCAGGCTTTGGGCGGCAGTGTGGCGTAGTGGTAGGGAGCAGGGCTTATAACCCAGATTTTGCTGGTTTCAAATGCCAGGTGGGCTACTGCTTGTGGTACCCCTGGGCAAGGCATTTAACCTGAATCACCTCAGTAAATATCCAGCTGTATAAATGGATTACACAGACAACATGGTAAACTGTGTAACTTGCCCTGGATAACCGCATCTTCAACTCCTCCTGGGAAGTTTCTGGGGTTGTTTGTGTAAGAGATAAGCCGTTTGTCACCATGGTAGAGAACTTAAACTGTGTTTTTCATTATCACTCTTATTGTGACAACACAAAAGAGATCGTGCCAGCAGTTTGATCCATGAGGGATAACATATTATAAACAATAATAGCTATTGTAATAAACCATTATGTGCCATTATAAACAACAGATAAGATGACTTTCTTCTTTCTCTTCTTTCTCTTTCTCTCTCTGTCCCTCCCTCTCGTTGTCCCTGGTCTGCCTTGGCCCATCCCGTAAACTCCTTCCTTCACAAGTTTCAGCAGGTCCCTCCTGTCTCTCTCTCTTTCTCTCTTTCTCTCTCTCTCTCTTCTGTGTGTGTTGGTCTCCCTCTCCCTCTCTGTGTGTTTCAGACTCATCTCAGGGGCGCTGGCTCTGTTTAGATGGGGGGTTTGAACTCGGCAGCTGCGCTGCTATTTCCCTTGAATTCAGCCGTCTCCTTAATAAATCACTGTCATCCACTTCTGCTCTGAGAGGGAAACCAGATGCCGAATTTCTACCTGACTACTGTCTGTGTGGGTGTGCGTGTGTGTGCGTGCGTGTGCGTGTGCGTGTGTGTGCGCGCGTGCGCATGTGCATACATGTGTCTGTCTGTGTGTGTCTGTGTCTGTGTCTGAGTCTGTGTGTGTGTGTGTGTGTGCACGCATGCGCAAGAGTAGTGTGCCAACTATAGACATTAAGGAAAATGGTCAAAATATTTATACCAAGAAAAATAAACTTGTGGACCCATGTGGTTCTGACAGAGCCATATTTCATGTAAAAATAAATATCCTGGATAATTCTTTCTTGAATTTCCTTTGCAGCATCAATCCATTTTGGCCCAACAATTCTGAAGTTTCTGGCTGTTCTGTTTTCTTCCTTTCTCTAATCCCCACTAGGATGTGTGCGTGTGTGGGTGTGTACATGTGTGTGTGTGTGTGATTGGAAAGACAGCCTCTTTTTTGCAGTTTCTGCATTTCTTTGTCAGATGGCTGCAGCACCCCCTGGTGATGGAATTTATAAATAATTCTAATCTCTTCCTCAGTCAGGTGTTCCCCCATGGACTCCCGGAGGAGTTTACCCTGGTCTTCACTCTGCTGCTGAAGAAGAAGACCATCAAGGACAACATCTACCTCTTCCAGATCACAGACGAGCAGGGCTACCCTCAGGTTCATGCTCTCATCTCTCTCTCTCACTCTCTCACTCACTCACTCACACACACACACACACATACACACACACACATGCACACACACACAGACTCAGACACAGACACACACATGCGTTCAAATTCAAAAAAGTTTTGTAAGTTATTAGTTATTGGCATGGCAAAAGTTACATTACGAAAGCACCTGAACTATATGCTTTTCAAGTAAGATGCAGGTACCGTATTACACGTTAAGCAACATCTTTAAGTAGAAGTATTCAGTGTTAATGGGCACTCACTCTCATAGTTTCTCTCTTTCTCGCTCTGTCTCTCATATTAGCATCACTCATAAGATGGCTTTTTCTCACCACTGTACTTCCATATTTCTCCCTAGAAACCTCCATCTCTGTGTCAGTAGCCTCTACTTCACTTACTCCCTCCCTCCTTCCTGCTTCCTACTTCCTACTTCCTGCTTTCTGCTTCCTGTTTCCTGTTTGCATAGCCAGTCAGGCTCCGTCTCACTCCCAGCCCCTCTCTGCGCAGTTCTCCCTGGACCTGAATGGACCGGAGCGAACGCTTGCCCTGCGTGCGCGCGGGGGCGGGGCCGAGGGCGGAGACAACTTCGTGGGGTGCTTGTTCGGCGGGGAGGGGGTGGAGTCTCTCTTGGACTTCCGCTGGCACAAGGTGGCGCTCAGCCTTCAGGCGGGCCAGGCCTCCTTGCACGTGGACTGCGGCTCCATCGAGACGAAGCCCCTGGAGCCCAGGGGAGAGCTGACCACCACGGGACACACCCTGCTGGCCATTCAGGCATCTAACGGGGCAGCCGTGGAGGTGAGCGGTGGGGACCTGGTTCTGGGAGAGTGGGACAGGCCTGTGGGGGGATGGGGTCTCGGGGGGTTAATTGCCTGTATATGGGACTGAAGTTCGGGGAGGAGGAAGTGGCGTTTTGATGAGAGTGGTGTTTCTTTCAAGAAACATTTTACTGCTGTGCAAGTCAGTGAATTGTAAACTTTAGGCCTCTCCCAAGGTTAGAAATGATGTACATAAGCAATCTTACCACATGAGTTGCACAAGAAAGTGCAACTCTTCATAGACTCATAAATTTGCTTACATCAACTGCTTGAAGAAGTTGGCAATGTGGGACTTAACCTGGAAAAGTGGAAGAAGAAATGTTATGGTGATTTAAATACCTGTGGAGAGCCTGCTGCTCCGAGCTCCTCAGTGTCACCACCGGCTCTTATCTGTTCCCTCAAGTGAAGCCTCATTCGCACAGAATGAGGGCTTTTTGCTGGTTATAATGATGCGACCAGTTGCAGTTCCTTTGTGCCGAGGCACCAAGATGAAAAGGGTTACTGTATAATGAGGGCATTTCCGAGCAGGGATAAACGCACACTGAAGTCAGCGAAGATGATGCTGAAAAACCAGCGTGTGAACACTCTCGGAAGGGCCGTCTGTGAAAGGATGCAAACCTTCGGGCGCGCTCTCTCATAATGCGAAACGCAGACGCAAAATAACGAGCTGCGATCAGCGAGAGGGGCCTGGTTTCCGTCACCATTTTGATCAACAAATAACAAATAATAAGTGTCGCTTTATCATTTAAAACAATTTATCTCCTCAGTTGTGATTGCTGAACTCAATGAAATGGGTTTGTGAACCAAAGTAATACTTGTATCTAATCCCCATTGGTCGGCACCGGAGGTATTGAGTGTCTTGGCTTCTTTGTGTATGGGGTGCAGGTGGCATTCACATGCATGTATCGATGCATGGTTGACGTTCCGGCCAATACCGTTACTCATGAGTTGATTAAAGAAACAAAGCACTCAGTAGAGGAATGAGAGAAATAATGAGATGTGGAGACCTTTATGATGGTGACCTTAAAGATACTGACTGCACCTCTTTGTCCTTTTCACAGATGGATGTCCAGCAGATAATGGTGTACTGCAACCCTACTCTGGCCATACAGGAAGCCTGCTGTGAGATACCTGGCGCTCGGGTGAGGATCTCTCTGGCTCTCCTCTCCTCGGTCTCCTGCGCTGCTTTCTGATCATGGTACTCACTGGTCTGGGTGTGTTGTTAGCCTGGTCTGACACTGTTGCTCGTTCGGCTTGAATGGATGCACTTCTGTTCTGTTGTGCTGGAAGTCGCTCTGGATAAGAGCGTCTGCTAAATGAAGGTAATGTAATGCCAGCAGCCCTGTCACGCTGCAGTGTTTCTGCGATGTTCTGCAAAGTGTTGTGGTTTTTCTTGATCCTCTTCTGCAAATGCAGCGTTTCCTTTACAGCTTGAACTGGGCAGAGATCAGATAAAACAACGTTTTTTACAAAATGTAACATCACTAGGTTAAATAGGCCCATTGTACCGCATATGTTTATGTACATGTTCCCATGAAACAGGTCAATATTTACACTTCTAAGAAGCTGTTCAAACCAAGATAACCTGCGTGTTAGAATGCGCACCTTATTTCAAGAATGTGCTCTGTATTTTATCGTAGAAATTTAGAGAGTGGTCCGTTTTATCTTTGGAAATGATAGTTGCTTTGATATTGATTTCAGTTTGGATGCCTCTTGGCTTCTGCTTCTCTTGAGTAGCTAAGTCTTTCAAAAATGCATCGATTTCAGAGTTCTCGAAGTTAAATGGAAAGTATTCAAGGACTTCGGATAAACAGACGAGAGTTGTAAAGGATGAGGATTCCCTGACAACTTAACCGTGTGATTCATGGAGCTGGGCTTGCTTTCCTTCAGTGCGCTTCCAAAAAATTGAATCGCTTTGTAAATTGAAAGTAGAGATTAAATGCGTGTGGCATGCAAAGATGAATGCAACTTTGAATATTCCTGTGGATTAGATCCTGAATGGTTGTGCGAGCATGAATTGGGAAAAAAAAGCACTGAGAACAGGGAGTCTGACTGGGGGTGGGGATGGGGAAGGGGGGTTAGTTTCTGTTCACGTCCGAGAGTTTGGTACGGCCAGTTCCGAAACGATGGAACCGAATATGTTTTTGCACTTTAAGCAGAGCCAACAAGCGTGAAAACTCCTGCAGGGGACATATTTCATATCAGGTGCGTATGTGAGAGAAATCTGAGCGGAAGGAGATAAGAAGGGAGAGAAGGGGGTGGGCAATCAGAATGGAGAGAGAGAGAGGTATTGAAATTAAGGAGGAGAAGAGCGGCAGGTTTGTTTGTGAATGTGAGGAAGAGGTAAGGGACCGGGATTGAAGAACATTAGAGTGGGGATGAAAGTGGAAATGCAGAGAGGGAGAGAGAGAGGGAGAGTCAGAGAGACAGTGAAAGAAGCAAAGCCTTTCTACATGTCAGACATCTCCGTCAGTGCCCTGAGCGCTCACTCTAGCGCGCTGAAGAGTTCATTAGAAGGTTTTAACGAGGAAGAAGCTCTGAAATTTTTTTTTTTGTAAATGAAGACTGCGCGTATGCGTCTCACTCCCCTGTGGGGGGCATTTATGGAGGAAACGGGGAGTTACGGCTTCCTTTGCCTGGTCCATGAAACCCGACGTATCAAGTGAGATGCGGTTGCAGTTTTGGGGGACCATTTTTGCTGTCCTACTGGGCTTTGGTGACATGTTTAAAGAGCATGTGGCACTATGGTTGTCCCAACCACACGTTTTGGGTCAGGGTGGTCAGACGTTTGAAATACTTTTATGGTTCTCCATACCCAGCTCTTGCTTTTTTTAACAGAGTG